AGCACAAGTGTCGTTATTAACTTATAAGAGTCAATTATAATTGATGTTATTTCAATCGTCCTTTATCACGTGTTCATTGCTCGAGATCGTTATGTTGGAAGCAAATAAAAAAGATACGGTCATTACTTAATCAAAAAGAAAGATGAAAACGACATAACTGCCGTTACTATTTAGAAAACGGCACAAGTACTGTTATGCCTCTGAACAAGTGTATTAAGCGCCCGATCCTTCTGAGCCACGATAATCGATAAGCTGAACTCATTTTGGTTGTAGGGTGAACACGCCTCTTACAACATTCAATTGATATGGTCATTACTTTGTAAAAAAGAAAGACGAAAACGATCCAATTGTCGTTACTGTTTAGAAAACGGCACCTGCCTCTGAACAAGTGTATTAAGCCCCACGATCCTTCCAAACCACAATAATTGATAAGTTGAACTCATTTTGGTTGCATGATGGGCACGTTTCTTACAACATTCAATAGATATAGTCATTCTTTGTACTTTCAAATGAATTTTGACCATTTCACTGTTTGAAACCATATATTCTATATCCATTCAACCGTTAGTTGTCACATTATCAACATTTTTGGCCTTATTAAGTTAGGGGGTCCTATCTTTGAGATCGTTCCGTGGGAAAAGCTGCAAAATATATTAGAAATCAACAGAACGGCACAAGTGTCATTTAACGGTACTTATGCCGTCCTGCCTCTAAACACGTGTTTTAAGAGCCACGACCCTTTTGAGCCACGATAATCGATAAGATGAACTCATTTTGGTTGCAAGATGGGCACGCCTCTTACAACATTCAATAGATATGAACATTACTTAATCAAAAAGAAATATGAAAATGACACAACTGTCGTTACTGTTTAAAAACCGGCACACGAGTCGNGATAATCAATAAGCTGAACTCATTTTGGTTACAAGATGGGCACGCCTCTTACAACATTCAATAGATATAGTTATTCCTTGTATTTTCAAACGAATTTAGACCAACACTTGTGATTTCATTGTTTGAAACCATATATTCTATATCTATTCCACCGTTAATTGTCACATTATCAATATTTTCGGCCTTCTTATGTTAGGGGGTCCAATCCTCGAGGTCATTCCGTGGAAAAAAACTGCAAAAGATTTTAGAAATCAATAGAACGGCACAAGTGCAGTTCTGCCTCTAAACACGTGTATTAAGAGCCACGATCCTTTCGAGCCATGATAATCGATAAGTTGAACTAATTTTGGTTGCAAGAGGGGCATGCCCTTACAAAATTCAATAGACATGGTCATTCCTTGTACTTTCAAATGAATTTAGACCATTTCACCTTTTGAAACCATATATTATATATTCATTCCACCGTTAGTTGTCACATTATCAACATTTTCGGCCTTCTTAAGTTAGGGGGTCCAATCCTCGTGGTCGTTCCGTTGGAAAAGTTGCAAAATATTTTAGAAATCAATAAGACGACAAAAGTGCCGTTTAACGATACTTGTGCCATTCTGCCTCTAAACACGTGTATTAAAAGCCACGATCCTTTCGAGCCACGATAATCGATAAGCTTGCAGGATGGGCATGCCTCTTACAAAATTCAATAGATATGGTCATTCCTTGTACTTTCAAACAAATTTAGAACAACACTTGTGATTTCACTTATTAACATTTTTAGCCTTTTTAAGTTAGGAGGTCCACGTCGTTCCTCAAGAAAAGCTGCAAAAGATTTTAGAAATCAACATAACAGCACAAGTGCCGTTCTGCCTCTAAACACGTGTATTAAGAGCCACGACCTGTCCGAGCACATTTATCGATAAGCAGAACTTATTTTGCTTGCAAGATGGGCACACCTCTTATAACATTCAATAGATATGGTCATTACTTAATCAACGAGAAAGACGGAAATGACACAACTACCGTTACTGTTTAGAAAACGGCACAAATGTCGTTCTGCCTCTGACCACGTGTATTAAGCTCCACGATCCTTCTGAGCCACGATAATCGATAAGCTGAACTCATTTAAATTGCAAGATGGGCACGCCGCTCACAAGATTCAATAGATAAAGTCATTACTTAATCAAAAAGAAAGATGAAAACGACACAACTGCCGTTACTGTTTGCCGTTCTGCCTCTGAACACGTGTATTAAGAGCTACGATTCTTCCGAGCAACGATAATCGATAAGCTGAACTAATTTAAGTTGCAGAATGGACACGTCGCTCACAACATTCAATAGATATGCATGACTTAATCAACAAGAAGAAAGAAAACAACGCAACTGCCGTTACTATTTTGAAAACGACACAAGAGTAGTTACAGCACCATAGATGTTTTATTGTAACAAAAAAGTATAACCCCCGTTATGGATTCATTGAGTCTAAGTTGTCACAAAATCCCTCGTTCCAAATATTATATATAGTTTGCTTTTCAGAATGACAAAAATAGTACATCGTAACATATCATCACCATCATTTTTCAATGTTACAATCGTAACATTACAAAAGCCGCATATGTGCCGTTTTGTCTTCATCGTTCATGTCTCTTGCTGAGTGGTACACGATCTATACAAGTGATACGATTATGCCCAATTTTCAAATACCTACTACACTTATGAGATTTGCACACCTATCTGACCGATTGTTTCTTCTTTTTTGGTGGACGTCCACTTCCTCTTCGTGTCAATGGTTGTATCACCTTTCTTGATCGAATTTCACAGACCTCCTTGTTTGGTAGTGGTTGAAGATAACAATTGTAGTGTCGTTCTACACTACGTAAAATGGCTGTAGTACCGTTCTGTACTACAATTCGTCCAATAGTAGCTGACAGTACAAAAATACACCAACTGTGAACAAAACATCAGCTAAAATATCATTTCATATTATATTTAACAGTAAAAGGACCAATGTACGTGAGATTTCCAAAAATACATTTCTTTTTCTTCAAATATTATAGAGATT